GACCAGTTACATTATAGTAGGCAAGTAAATTAACCTAAGATTTAGAGATGTGTTGCTGATTTGCATTGGAGAAGAGAGTTCCTGTATGAGGAGTTTCCCACACCTATGAAATCATAAGGTCAGATCCAAAAAAAAAAAAGGACAGTTGATGATGAAGCAATCTGGCATAGTAGATAGAACAGTAGACTAGGAGTCACTCTGATTCCCTTACATGTGGGTGCTCTGTCCAAAGGAACACAAATTTTGGTCACTTATACTTCACAAGGGATCTTGGAGTTTGAGGGATATGTATTTTATCACTGGTTTTTTTTTTTCCTGAAAAACAGGGACAATTAACTCTTTTGTCTCATGTAGTTTTCATTTATGATTTCCTGAAATATACCTTTGAAAAAAACAGGCCAAATGAAGTCACTTGACTCTATAACTTTAAACCCAAACCACTCTGGCTCTCACTGATTGGCCAAACAATAGGTCCCAAGCCAAGCCTCACTTGTTCATTGTTTGGGTTTTAATGGCTCAGGATGAGTGTAAACAGCAATTGCTTCTGTTCTGGCCAGAAACTCTGAAGGTCTTTCCCACCCAGACTGATTCTTTTCTGAAGGCAATCTAGGCCATATTTTACCTCGATTCTTACCTAGCCTTTAACTCCTGAATGGGCATTGCCTCGGACAAACTGAGACCTGGGAAAGACCTTAGCTTAAAAAAAAAAAAGACCAAGGTGTCCTACTGCATCCAGGGCAATGCACCAGCTTGACCTATGGCTTGCCTTTGGACTCTGATGACTCTGGAGGAGAGAGTGAGGCTGATGACTGCACAGCTCTACCTCACTTAAATCCAATTCACTTGCAAGTCAAGACATCACCCGGCCGATGTCATCGGCCCTCTTCAAGGATGAAGGATGAACAACAACAACATCAAAGAGTCACTCTCACCTGTAGCTCCAAGAAGCTGTAGCATGGGCAGTAGCCATAGCCCTGTAAAAGCATCTGGACAGACAGGCTAAACCAAGCAGAGGGTAACCAACAGGCCTCAAACCCATTGGTGAGTTAGGCACATATCTACCCCAAGCATGTGAAGATTTTCCCTAGTGGAATGGGCAGTTGAGAACAATTTGTTCCAACAGCCATGAAGGTAGCTAAAGCAGGAACTGTGCAGAATTTAATTTAGAGCTTGGTCAGACATAGAAAATGCCAAGGTCATTCACTGTATCCTGGGTCATCCCCAGTCATCTTGACTTTTGTCTTGCCACTGGATTTTGATGACTCTGGAAGAGAGAGTGAAGCTGCTCACTTTGTACAACTCTGCCTTGCTTAAATCCAATTGACTCTCAAGTCAAGAAGTCACCATCTTTGAGAATGAGATGCGAAACACAGCAACATGAAGAAGTGGTCATGAGCAAGTCACTTAATCTCTATCTGCCTCAAGCTACTCCCTAGGATTTAAAACCTACATTTTGTGTGTGTGTGTGTGTGTGTGTGTGTGTGTGTTGACATCTGCATTGGTGGATAGAGCTCCTATCTCTTAAAGATTTTTTCTTTCTGAAATACACAATAATTATAACTATGAAAAAAATTTACAGCAAGTATCTCTGATAAAGACCTCATTTCTCAAATAGAGTCAAATTTATAAAAATAAAAACCATCCCCAATTGATAAATCATCAAAGGATATGAAGTTTTCAGAAAAAGTAATTAAACCTATCTATAGTCTTATGAAAAAAAATGTTCTAAATCACTATGGATTAGAGAAATGCAAATTAAAATAACTCTGAGCTACCACCCTACACCCATCAAATTGGCTAATATGACAGAAAAGGAAAATTACAAATGTTGGAGGAGATATTGGAAAAACAAGACACTAATGCACTGTTGGTGGAGTTGTAAACATCCAACCATTCTTTTAGAGCAATTTGGAACCATGCCTAAATGGCTATAAAATCATGTATATCCTTTGACTGAGCAATACCACTACTAGGTCTGTATCACAAAGAGATTAAAAAAAAGAAGGAAAAGGACCTACATGTACAAAAATATGTATAGCAACTCTTTAAGTGGTGGCAAAGAATTGGAAATTAAGGGCTTGCCCATCAATTTGGGAATGGCTGACCAAATTGTGCTATAGGATTGTGACAGAATACTATTGTGCTATAAAAATGATAAAAATGCTCTCAGAAAAAACTGGAAAGACTCACACGAACTGAGCAGAACCAGGAGAACATTGCACACAACAATATTGTACAATGATCAGCTGTGAATGACTTAGCTATTCTCAGCAATACAACGATTCAAGACAATTCCTAAGTACTTATGATGAAGAATGCTATCCATCTCCAGAGGAAGAACTGGCAGAGTCTGAATGCAGATCAAAGCGTACCTTTTTTTTAAACTTTCTTTTTTCTTTTTTTGTCTTTTTTTTCTTTTACAACATAACTAATGTGGAAATATGTTTTGTTTGACTGAACATGCAAAATCTATGTCAAGTTGCTTGCCTTCTCAATGAGGTGGAAGCGAAGGGAGAAAGGGAGAAAACTTGGAACTCAAAGTTTTAAGAAAGGAATGTTAAAATCACTTTTACATGTAATTTAGGGTAAAATAAAATATTAAAATTAAAAAAAAATAATTTCCCCTCTATAAAAAAAGATTTTTCCCATCTGCTATTTCTCGAATTATAATTATTTCCTTGTGATCTAGACGGTTGTAAGTCTGTGGACCTGCTCCCTTCCCCCTAATAAATTGGCCTGTCTTGAAGAATCATTTTGAAATAGATCTTGACCATTGAGGTGGGAGCATGAGAAAAATAACTGAACTATCAGTTCCCTGAAAGGAGAAAAAAGCAAGAGAAAGGAATACAGCTGGTCAGCCAAGATTAAACAGATGGAGAAATTGGGGAAAAGAAAAGGAGATACTTGTGGTAAGGATAACAATCAACCAAGCAAGCAACATTTATTAAGCATCTATTATGCTCAAGAAACTGTGCTAAGTACTACTGGGGATACAAATACAGTGAATGAAACAATCCCTGTGTTCAGAGAGCTTACATTCTCATAGAGTAAGTAGGGAGAAACACTTGGGGATGTACATTACACCTTGAAAGAATCTTTTAAAATGGATCAAAACTAGAAGGACCTTTGAAATTATCTGGTCCTCATTTTACAGATGGAAAAAACTAAAGCTCAGAAGAGGAAATCCATAGTTTTCCAGAACCACTGAGACAGTACCACAAACCTGAGGACTCAAACTCAGGCAGATCTTGATTCCAAAACCAAGGATCTTTCTCCTATACCATGAACATGGAATTAAAAGACCTGGGTTCAAATCCTGGCTTTGCTACTTACCAGCTGTGAAAATTTGGGAAGTCATTTCTCCTTTCAGAGCCTCAGTTTCTTCCTCTGTAAAATGAGGAATTGAACAAAATTGTTTCTAAAGGTCTTTCCAATGTAACCCTTGGCTCAAAGGGGTAGTTGTATAGGACTCTCTCCTCATTGGTAGAAACTGATAACTCAGTGCCTGAGGGGAGGGTTAAATTGGTGAGAATGGGAGAAAGGAGATAACCAGGCATTTCTGGCTTCTAGAGAGAAGATGAATGATTCCAACCTCTCTTCAGATTCATGAAGAGAGAAAGACTCTAGGAAAAGCTAACTTGTAGAGAAGTGGACAAATCTCTATCACGTCTCTATCCCCAGCTTGCTATACTAGATACTTTAGGGAATTTCCCCCCTGAGTGAAATCTGAGACTCTCTCTTGATTGAACTGATTTATCTCACACTCAAAAGGAGAGAACATTCAATTTGTACTGTCTGGTACATATGCTTATATGCATATTCTCTCTGATTTCTGTTTTGCTATCAACTTGGATAAATGGGTTTCTTCACTATTTGCTCTGTGTGTTCACTATGGAACTGGCAATCTGGTGGGAAAGGGGTTAAGCTTCCGATATATACCTTGGGGCACTCCTCCATTAAGGAACAGAGATCAGAAGTTTAGCTTCAACCTAAAAATTAATTTCCCTAGACTGACAATATTTAATGGAGCAGATAGATCTAACTCCAGCCTGGTACTACCTTTCCCTGAAAACAGAGTGGCTAGCCTCTATCTACAGCCCCCTGCTTCATTTCCTGGCAGGAATCAAAGTCTCCCTTGGAGAAGGGTTGGGGGAAGAGACCCTAGAGATGTCTGTTCTTGCCTCCCTCTGAGCCACATTTAGACAGACCCATGTGGACATATATAATCTACATGGGTCAAACAAAAAAAACAGTTCCCACCACACTATCTACACTAACATTCTATGTTCTATAGTCTAGCTTTGATATTCTGTAATTGTCTTATTCTGTGAATCAAGTGGGTTATAGCAAGGGACACTGTGTCATGGAAAAGGCAGCGAACTTGGATGAACTCATGGCACTTATCAACTTTATGACCTCATCTTCCCAAGCCTCAGTTTCTCCACCTATAAAATGGGGATAAAAATTTTTGCACTGCATACTTTACAAGAATTGTAAAGGATCAATGAATTTAGAGCTGGAAGGAACCTTTCAGATCACAGGGTCAAATTCCTTCATTTTACAGATGAAGATGCTGAGGTCTAGATAGGTCAAAAGACTTGCCTAAGTCCACAGAAGCAGTAATTAATGGAACCAAGACCTGAAACCAAAGCCTTTGACTTGAAATCCAGTGCTCTTTTCTAAGTTTTCTTTGTAAGAATCAAACCAGATAATGAAATGAAGGTAGTTTACGATCCCAGTATAAATTTTCATCCCCTGATCTTACTAGCTAAATGACCCTGGGCAATTCATTCCCTCTCTTTAAGCCTCAGTTTCCTCATCTGTAAAATGGGGATAATAATCCTTGTGGTACCTGCCTGATTGTTGTAAGGAAGCACTTTGTAAACCTTAAGTAGCTATAGACAGTTGAGCTATTATTATATTTTTATAGAAAATGTAATTACTGTAGAAGATACTTTTATAGAAAATGTAAACTATTATTATTGGACTCCTAGGGGATAAAGGGCTTTGTTGTTGTTGTTTGTTTGTTTGTTTGTTTGTTTGTTTGTTTGTTTGTTTGTTTGTTTGAAGTGAGATTGGGAGAAAAGAGATAATCAGGCACTTCTGGCTTCTAGAGAGAAGATGAATGATTCCAACCTCTCTTCAGGTTCATGAATAGAGAAAGACTCTAGGGAAAAGCTCATGAACTCATGAACTCAACAACTCATGAAACCATTTGTGAAGGCTTGGAATGGGTTTAATATAGGTCACTGTAGAAGGAAGCACCCCACCATAGAAAGCCCAGATGTTTTGAAGTATCAAAATAAGTATTTTCCCATTAGGAGAAATGCTGGATTTCATTTCCCAGGCTTAACCTGTCAGCCCCCAAAGGCAGGGCTTCCCGCCTGCCAAGTATGACACCACCAGAGGTACATTTCTGGCATCACAAGGTTCCATGAGGTCACAGCACCCTTATCTATGTCACAACCTACCAGCCACAGCAAGTCATTGACCTCCTCTACAGAGAGGGGAGCAGGCCTGTCTTGGCACTAAACCTACCCCATCAGACACTACTTGCTCTCCACCAAGAATTAGCCCCTCGGTGAAACGGAAAATGAAAACCTGTCCTGTTCTCAAGGTTGGGTATCACCATGCAGGGCACAAAGAGGCCATCAGTCCCCAAGGGATCAGGGCTCAGCAGGGGCAGGAACAAGGACATGGAGAGTACTCAGAAAAGTAGTGAGAAAAATATTGAATTTGGAGTTGGGAGACCTCTGTTTGAACCTTGGCTGTGCAAGTTCCAAGCTTTGTAACCTTCTGAAAGTCATTTCAGCTCTCTTAAGGGCACCTGTTCCCTAATCTGAAATATGAGACAATGGTTGTAGATGATCTCTTAATTTTCCTTTTAGCCCTAAATCCTATGACCCTAGAAAACACAGCACAGGGAGCTGCCATATATACCTACTGTTGAACCAAAGCTGGGCTCTGAACCTCCACTTCTCACCAGAAGTCATCAAGGGCTATTGAACGTAAGAGCCCAGGCTATGCAATACATAGAAATTCCTCTTTCTATAACATCTCTCCAAAACTTCTCTTTCCCCAGGTCCAAAGTATGGAACAGTGGAAAAGGAGGTCCAGACCTGGCAGGGAGGCTGAGCTAAACCAGCTGAGGACGGTAAGAGACACACACCTCACCTTTCTTTACAAGAGCTCCTTAACCTTTGAACTGGTCTCCTAGCATAGAGATCTTCAAGCCAACAGGCTCCAGATCATCTCATATTGTGGGACCTAGAACTTGGAAGGAACCTTAGAGCAATCTAGTTCAACCCCCTCATTTTGTAGAGGAAAAAATTGAGCCCCAAAGAGGGCAAATGGCTTATTTAAGGTCCCAGAGCTCCTGTCAGTGACAACTTGAACACAAATCTCTAGGTTCCAAATCCAGGCTTGTTTCCAGTACATGCTGCTATCTTCTCACATTGTTTTAAACCACAGGTTGAGGTGGCTTGAGGGGTTCTCAAGGTCTAAATGATTGAGGCTAGGATGGAAAGGGGAGAGGCAGAGTATAGGGAAAGTCAAAGAAAGCTCATGTCTGTCTCTCCTAACCCTTTCTGTACTCCTGTGTAGGTGATGAAGAACCTGTCACTCCTGAAACTGTTAAAGAAGTCAAATCCCCGTGTAATAGGTCTCCATAGTCTGGCGAAGTCCTGCTGGAAGCTGCTGTTTCAAGTGCCCCAGATACTGCGTGTTTCCTCTAGGTGATCAAGGCTCTCACTGTGCCCAGAAACTTAGTGCATGGAGCATGTCTGCCTGCCTGCTGAGGGCTACACTGCCAATGCTTCCAAATTCCAGGCAGCTCTAGTACCCTGGACAGCCCTAGGGTAGGAGGGTGGAGGGAGAGAAATAGAAAACAGCCTGCTCTATTACTTCTTACAAGTTGGTATCTTTCCTCTGGAGAAAGGAAGCTTGGGAAATTCCTTTGCATACTTACACCTTAGATCTGGAACGAGCTTGAGCTGAACTTAAGGCAGTATGGGGTTAGGGTAAAGAACACTTGTCCTTATCAGAGGACCTGGGCTTGAACCCTGGCTCTTGCAACTTAACTTGGGCAAATCACAACTTCCCTGGGCTGAACTCTCAGTTCTTTCATCTGTAAAATGAGAAGAGTGCAGTGAAGTTGGACTAGTTGATCTCCAAGGTTCTTTCCAGCCTTAACTATATGATTCTATGGCCCTGAGCAAGTCTCAGCCTCTCTACTCTTACAGTCTTTCTGGCAAGTTACCACCTCTCTTGTGGATATTCAGTAGAGAGTTACTGTAGAACCTTCTTATCACATACACCTCTTCACCTCTTCACTCATTCATTTAACAAATATTTATTTTCCCAGTTGCTGCTTCTCCCAGAGGACAAACACAACTAAAATTTGGCTGCCCCCGACCTAAGTCTAGCCCCATTGAAGGGAACAGTGTGTTGCAGTCACCTTTTTGACAGAAACTGTCCTGAGATTTAAACGCTTCAGTGATTTGCTTCAAGATATTTCTCTCTCTCTCTCTACTCACTTTCCCATCTCCCTTCTTCCCTTGGGTATCATGAAACTGAAATTCAGAGGTAGGAGGGAGCCTTACAACACAATGTTGGAACAAAAGAAAAAAACCATAGAACATGACAGTTACAGCTTGAAGAGACATGAGGAACCACTTGGCCCAAGGTCTACATTTTACAAAGGAGGAAAAAACTTCAATGCTTTGCCCAAGGCTTAACATTAAATTAGTGGTAGAGGCAGGATTGTAAGCCAGGCCTCCTGAATCTCCCCTACACCAGTCTCCTTTTCACCCCTCTCCCATCTCATTCTGCTGACACAAGTCTTTGCTTCTGATGACAGAAGTATCCACATGACATCGTTGTCTACTTTGGGTCCAGGCTGTGGTTGAGCATCCCCTCTCCTTCCCAAAAGCAGATTTGATTTTAAGATTGGGAGATAAGAGGGAGAAAAGAGTGAAAGAGTGCAGCAGTAGGGCTAACTGGATTTGATCCACTCTGGGGCTTGGGTTTCTGTTGTATTGACCACCTTCTACCCTTTTCGCTATCATTCTAGGACCAGTAGTGGTACTTCTTCCCAACTAATGGAAATGGACAGAGCCCCCATAGAGATTGGAGACCTGGTAGCAAAGAATGCAAAAGTAGAGAAGGCAAAGGCAAAGGTGGAGAAGGCCAAGAGAGAGGCCAAGAAGACAACAAGTACTGAGAGTCAATGCTGCCCCTTCTCCATCTCCTCTTGCTACTCCAAGGCCAAAACCACCAAGGCTTCTCACTTCATTGTCTTGAAGACTTTCCCCAAATCCCATAAAGCAACCTCCCAGAACTTTAGCACACCTTGGACATGGTTTGAGGGCCTGCCCAAACGCATCCACATACCAGCCCCCAGAGCACTCTGTCGGCCTTCTGCACTTCGTTGGGTAAAGCGCTGCTGTACTCGGTTCTGTTCTGCATCCTTGGAGCTGCCAAGGGCTTACCCCTACAATGCATGATTCAGGCTGCTGCCTGGGTCAAATGTCTTAAAACCCTGGCTCTCTGTGTGTTTATTGGTGGTAGGTTGGGAGTTGGAATGGGAGGCAAAAGTTAAACCCATACAGCCTGACAATAATACCCTCCCCCTAAGGTATCTTAGATATTATCTCACCTTCACAGGTTGAGACATTAAGGCCCAGGGAAGAGGGGAAATGACTTGAACAGCTAATAGGCAGCAGAGCTGGGACTGGAACCCAAGCTTCCTAACTATAAATATAGTGATATATTAAACTAATAACAATAATCTAGGAGATGTTAGAGTGGCATATTGCAGAAGGAACTGGCCAGATTAGGAAGACCAGAGTAAGATCAGATCTACCTCTGATTTGGTGTTCAGTCATTTTTCCAGTTGCATCATGACCTCATTTAGGGTTTTCTTGACAAAGATACTGGAGTATCTCCAGCTTATTTTACAGATGAAGAAAGTGAGGCAAACAGGGCTAAGTGACTTGCCCTGGGTCACACAGCTACTAACTGTCTGAGCCCAGAATGTCTTCCTGAGTCCAGGATGGGCACTCTATCCACTGGGTTGCCTCTGACAAATACTCCCTATTTCAACCTGGGCAGCTTTAACTTCTTTTTGCCCAAGACAACTCTTCTAAGATAAGGTGCAGAACCATAACCATTGTGTATTGGTAAAGGAAGATTTCTATAGCAGCAAAATTATAAGCTGGGACTAAAAACCATTTTAAATAAGGACTGAGATTTCTGTGTGATACAGTGAAAGGATTAGTGGACATCAAACAGAAAGATCTTGAACCTTGGGCTCAGGATTCAAATCCAAATTCTGGAACTTACTGATGTGCTATAGTCATGGGCAAATAAGTCAGTTCAATTCTTTGAGACTTAGTCCTCATCTGTCAAATTGGGAGAATTATATATATATCCAGATCACAAGGTTTACCAGGAAAGGGTTTTGTGAGCTATAGAAATGTAAGTTATTACAAAGTACTTTCCTGAAACAATACTGGAGAGGAAGTGCAAGCATTATTATACCCATTTTACAGATAAGGAGACACAACAGAGAGATTGTGATTTGCCTGGAGTCACCAAAATAGTATGTGTGACACTTGAACCCAGGTCTTCTGATTCTAAGCCAGTGACATTACATTATACAAGGCAACTAAGGTTTTCCTTCTTGCCTCAAGCAAGCCTCTAAATTTATATGAAGTTTCTGGGCTGCAAAAGTGATTCCTCACTAAGAGCTCTCTGAATTAGAGCCTCTTCTCTCCTGACCACGAACTTTCTTCCAGCCCCAGGACTCATCCCACCCCAGTCCACCGTTCTAGCAGTGTGCCCCCTACAACAGCTCAATCTACAGAGAAGAACTCTGGAAACCTGTACCCTCCCAATCAGGTGGCCTTACACATCCCCTGTAGAGGCTACCCTTAAACAGCACCCCCTAGCGACATTGCGTCCACTTAACAGGGTCTTTGAGAAGGCAAGTGGCTCAGACTCAGTGAGGGGGAGAGTGAGAGGTCGGCCGGACCCTGCGGGAAGTTCGAGAGAAATTACGACTGTGTAAATAAATGCCCCATGTAACACAGCACGGGGCTAGAACCATCTGGCCAAGATCCGTCTGTCCTTAGGGGAGAAGAAAAGACTGGAGAGGAAGGAAGCGGTCAGCCCTGGAGAGGAAAGCCAAGAATGCTAGGACTTAACTGCAGAGCAGAATTAATCCTGAGCTAACCCAGGTCTGGCTAGCTAGTAGGGCTCATCGTGATCTGGACGTCACAATTGTTTCGCTCTGGCTTCAGAATCCTTCCCTTTCCATTCCCCACCTCAAAAATTATCTCTAAGGGAGGAAAGAAAAAAGGGATGCAGTCCTTCCCAGAATGCCAATCTGGAGTGGATACTTGTACCCTTGTGTGGTGGGGGGTACATTCAGACAATTTTGATCTTACAATATTTCCTCCGATGCTTCACTGTGGGATGACCATGATCGTGACCTTTGCCAAGCCTCTGGCAGCTCTTACCAATTTGGAAAGGCTAGATTTAGAGGTGGATAAGATCCTTAGAGATCGTCCCTCATTTTGCAGATGGGGAAACTGAGGCCCCAAAAGGGGAAGTGAACTGCCCAGGATCACTCAACTGGCAAGAGTCTGAACCAGAATTAGAACTTATTTTCTCTATTTCGGAAACCAGAGTTCTTATCATTAACTGAAACTGATATTTTAAATAATCTATTAAAAAGGATTAGCAATATGGCAGATTGGATTAAAAATGTAGAGGACCAGGAGACCTGGATTTTAAATTTAGCCAGAGATTCCTTCCTGACTCTAACTCTGGGCCTCAGTTTCTTCCCCTATAAGAGTATTGGGTCTATGACTATAGGATCGTAGGATCACAGATTTTGATTTTGAACTGAAAGGAACCTAAGAAGCCACAGTTCCCACCCCCTCACTTTATAGATGAGTCCGGGGAGTTGGTGGTTTGCCCAAGATCACACAAGTAGTAAGCATTAGAGGAAAGGTTGGATCCAAGTCCTCGGAATCCAGTTAGTACTTTTTCCCTCGTAGGACTCCGGTCCAACAGGTCCTCCTTTGATACTACTTGTCTGTTATCAAGCCTCTGGTGGGGACCCGGCGGCAGTTGGTCTTGGCCAGTGAGTCTGGCCAGGTGCGGGACCCGGGGCGGTGAAGCAGCCGCACACTGGGCAACGGAGGGAGGGGGAGGGAGTCAGGCGGTGGGAGCTAACGGGTTGGCGCAGATGAAGCTAAGCGTGAGCGGTTTGGGCGCCGGATTCCGCTGCTCTGTCTTCCGCATGGGACCCCGAAGACTGCGCTGAGAGGGACCATGGCGTTGGGTCTTCTGCTCTCGGCGCTGCTGCTGCTACTGCCCTCCTTTGGTAAGGCACCCAAGATAGGATGAAGCGTTCACAGCATCCCTCTGCGACGCGCCCTCTCTGTCCACTCCTCAACGTCTGCCCTCCCGCCTCCAGCCCCCAAGGTGCGCACTCTCCTCCCAAGGCAAACTCTCCCTTCTGCGCTCTCATTTTTTCCCTTTGCGGCTGCGACTGTGGCGCCTGCCCTCCCAGTTAAGTTCCTAGGCTGCGCGCTCTTCTTGCAAGGCAAACTGCCTGTGATTCTCCAGACCTAGAGCGTGTGCGCTGTCAGGCCGCCTCTGCGCCCAGGCTTAGCCTCCGCACCCGCCGCGTTTCTTCTTATTTAAGAATACCTTCAGTTTCTTCTCTCTCTCTCTCTGCCCACCTCCCACTCCGGCAGGCCTCTTGCTCTCTATCCGCGGAACCTCTCCCTTGCTCCTTGAGCCTGCCTTGGTTCCTTTCTTCTCAGCTCAGCCCCAACTTACTTTTTTCTCTCACTACCTGGGGCAAAATGAGCTTAACTGAAAGCTGGGGTGGGATGGGAAGATGGGAATAAAGGGCCCGGGAGGGCCCTGAAAGAAAGGAGTGAACCGTGGTGGCTTAAGAGCAGGCTTTCTCTGGGGCACAGAGGGAGCAACAGGAGAACTGGAGTTTGGAGGTGGGGCTGGGACAAGATGTCGTTCAGTCATATCCGACAAGTACCAGGCTGGGGACTGGGGTGGTGGTCGGGGGAGCTGGGGTAGCGACTTAAACTAAGACTCCATACCGAGCAGGGCTGGCTCATTCCATCCCATTCCCTCCCTCCTCTTCCCTGCCTTCTACTCCAGAGACTTCTTCAGTCAGGGCTCGAGACGTCCAGGTAGAATGCCTTCAGGTATACCGAGGATTCTCTGCCTGCGTACTGCAGCTGGGAAGCAGCATGGCGGAGGCCCAGGGGCTGCCCGCAGTCTGTGGGTGAGTAAAGTCCATCCTTCCTCTCCCGCTGCAGGCCGCTTGCTCCATGTGTCCCCCACCAGCCTTGGTGGCCCGCACAGGTCCTGCCTGGAAGGGTTGGAAGGATGAAGGGGACTGAGATCAGAAGAACCGAGATGACACCCTCATTCACTCCTTTTCACCTGCTTTACTAGGATGCCCTAAGGGTGACCTCATTTCTTGCCACTAATGAACAGCTGCTCAACCAACCACCTGGGGGAATTAATTACCCACGGTATTTGAAAGGGGAATTTATGTTCCTTCATAACCTCCCGAATCATCTGCTGAAATACCAAAGTTCTTTACCTGCTCCCCACAGTGCCCATGCAAGTCTGACTTTCTGATGGGGATAAAGAATATTTTGGATGAAAGCTGTGCAAAATCTACCATTACCTGAAAGGAAATACTTTACTGACCTGTCAGAAGGCTGGTGGTTTTAAGTTTCTTTGAAACTCATGGTCTTTTATACAAAGAGCACTGGACAAGGTCAGGTCTGATCCAAAGTCTATTACCTTCTCTAGCATCTCCACCTCTTAATAAATGTCTGTTGGATAAGGGTTCTAATCCTGCCTTTGCACTAATTCATTGGGTGACTTAAATCACTGTCGGAGCCTCAGTTTCCAATGAAAAATGAAGTAGTAGAACTAATTAGTCTCTAAGGTCCCTTTCTGCTCTATAATTCTATGACTTACTTGAAAGGATTGAAGTACAGATGGGGACAAGGTCACACAGCAAAAAAAGTTTTAAAGGGCTTGGGATCTCCGGGCCTCCCAAGCCCAATTGGTGTTCTTTTCCCCAGGGAAAATAAATAGTGAAGATAAGTTAAGTCCTACTTTGGATTCTTTACCGCCTCTTTAAATCTGATTTTCCCTCTTCCCCAAATAGGAAAATATGCCTTAGAACACCAAGTCACCATGTTCTTCTCCTCACACGATCTAAATCATTCATCTCAATTTTGGCCTCACTTTCCTCCCTTCATAGTCCTACAATTAGCTAGTTCGGCTACATATATTGTCTTTCCCCCATAATTCCCTTGCCCCTTTGTCTTGTCATTCATCGACTGTCAAACCTGCATCTCCCCAGCTATCCGATTTTTCTATCTCACTCTTCTGGATCTGATTAATACTAGAAGCCACACAACATCTCTGTGTCCACTGCAAATTCATACGAGTGTGTGTGTGTGTATACTGCAGTTAAACATTTATTAGGACACCACTGGTTACAACATATATCCAGATGATAAACAATGGGACAGCTGGGACACACAGTGGATAGAGTGTGAGGTCTGGAGTTAAGAAGACCAACCAGGCCCTCACTGCTGTACAGCAATTTTTTTATTCTTCTTTGATTGACTATTGTTTCCTCACAGTGATGATTCCAAATCTCTCATCAAGACGTCCTCCCTTTTAACAGTCATTCTCATCTCCTGTTTTACTGATTGTGAACTCCCTTCATTGCCCTACTTCATACATACCTCAGAACCTCTCTAGACTATTTCCTGCTATCTCTTCCTTTGCTCTAGCCTCTTAGAGATCTTTCTCCTTGCCAAGGAAAACCTCTCTACTTGTGTCCTTGCTTTCATTTTCTTCCATCATTTCTTCTCTTGCTCTCATCAACAAAGTCTCTCTAAACTGGCTCTCTCCCCAGTACAAACAGGTTTTCATCTACCCTATCTCCTATCCTGTCAAGTTTCATCTCTTCTCTTTCTGTCCATTTCCTCAAAAGAATAATCTACATTTGCTTCTTCCATTTCCATACCACCTATTCTTTTCTTAACCATTTGCAATCTAGTTTCCAATCCCACCACTGGAATGAAACTCCTTTCTTCAAGATTACTAGTGCTTTCTTAACCACTAAATTGGATAGCTTCTCAGTCAGCACTTTTCTTGACCTTTCTGCAGATACTGCCAACGTTAAATCAGCTCCTCCTAAATGACCAGCTTCTATCACACTGCTCTCACTTAGCTCTTCTACCTGTCTGTCCAATTTGTTCCTCAGTCTCCTCTATCAGATCATCCATCTCCTACCCCTCTAGCAGGGGGTCCTCAGGGCTCTGTCTCATGCCTTTGTCCTCCCTCTACGCTCTTTCTCTTGACGATGTCATCTGCTTCCTTCCCTTGGTTCCAGTTATCATCTCTACCCATCTCTACTCTCAAATCTAAATATTCAGTTGTAGTCCTTTTCTTCCTAGATGTGCTGTAGCAACTCAAGCTCAACATATCCAAAAACAGAACTAATTCTCTTCACCAATTAATTTACCCCGCCTCAAACTTCCTTATTTCTCTTGAGAATACTACCTTCCCAATCACCTAGATTTATAACCTAAGAATCATCTACCTTCACCATCCCCCAAAGCCAATGAATTACCAAGTCTGTTAAATTCTACTTTCACAACATCTCTTAAAATAAAAATAATAATAGCTAGCATTTATATAGTAGTCACTATGTGCCAGGAACTTTACAAATACTATCTCATTTGATCATCACAACAACCCTGAGAGGTAAATGCTATTATCCTCATTTTACAGTTGAAGAAACTGAGGCAAACAGGTTAAGTGACTTGCTCAAGGTCACACAGCTAGTGTCTGATGCTGGATTTGAATTTACATCTTCCTGATGCCTAGCCTAGCAATCTATCCACTACCCACCCAGCCTCTTCTCTCCACTCATGGAGTAATGCCATAGTTCAGATCTTTTTTCATATCTTTCCTAGGTTATTTAATAGGCTCTAGTTGGGTTCTGTTTTTAGTCTTTCCCTCTTTCTAGTCTTTCCTGAACAACTGCTAAAATAATTTTCCTAAAACACAGGTCTAACCATATCACTCTACTCCCCTGCTCAAAGAATCTTGAGTGGTTTCACATTTGTTCTAACCTGGTATTTAAAGCCCTTCTAAATTTGGCTCCCACCCTGGTTTCCAAATTGTTTTTCTTGCTACTCTGCTTTCTACACTCCAAGTTCTAGCCAAACTGGACTTCTACCTCTTCCCTGCACTCAACATTCTATCTCCTATGCCAGAGACTCAATCTGGCACATGTCCCATGCTAGGCATCCACTCTTCCATCATCTCGGCCATCCAGAAACCTCTCCCAATAAGACTAAGCTCAGGTTCCATCTCCTAGGAGAAGCCTTCCCTCACTGATAAATTGTAACTTGACCAGTGAGCACCATGATAACGGAGGGCCTCAAGTAGATGTCATGTGAAGATCTTTTGGAAAGAACTAGGGATGTTTAGCCTGGGGAAGACACTCAGTCAGAACATGATTTTAAGTATTTGAAAAGCTTTAAGTATTTGAAAGGCTGTCATGTTGAAAAGAGATTAGACTTGTTCTTTTTGGCCCAAGGGCAGAACTAAGCTGAAAAGGGTGCAAGAGGCAAATTTTGGGCTTTATGTAAAGGAAAGCTGAACAATTAGACCTCTCCAAAAGTGGAATGGGCTGCCTCAGGAGATGGGGGGCGGGTCCCCCTTATTGGGAGCCTTTAATCAAAGATTTGCTGGCAAGGTTGTCAAAGAGATTCTTTGTAGGGTAAGGGTGAAATCAGTCAGCTTCTGAGCTCCCTTCCAAATCTGAAATTTCGGAGTGATTCCCTGTTCTGTAATTGTCTTGATCCTCAATTTTCCTTGTTATCACATTTATTTGTGTACGTTAGATCCCACTACCAGCACAATCACTGGTAGAATGTAGGCTCACTGAAGACAGGGATTTTGTTTTTGTCTTTGTATTCAGTACCTAACATGGTGTTTATACATAGAAGAGGCCTATCATAAGGCTTTTGCTGAATATATAAAGCCCTGAAAGGTTACTTCTCTGATCCCTTTGGCTGCAGGTACTGGGAAGAGTTTCATGCCTGTGCCCTGACTACCCTCCAGGACTGTGAAGAAGCAGCTACCCTGATCTGGGAGACATTAAAAAAGGAATCTAGAAATCTTCACTTTCCTGGGAACTTGTTTGAGCTATGCAGCCCCAAGGGTTCTGGTGGGCCACGCCCTTTATTCCTCCTACCCTGGCACCTGCTGGGCACTGCTCTGCTCCTTGTTTGGTTCTAGCAGGCTTGGGACAGTGCATGGAACCTGCCTCCCTGAGCCAAACCCTCTCCTGTCCAAAGGAAAGAAGATCCTTTACTGCCATGTGCTAAGCCACGTGAGCCAATGACTAACACCCACTGGTTTCCTGCCTAGGTAGCACCACCCCACTGTCCCAGAATATATGCTGAGAAAAGAAGCTCAATGTATCCTTTGCAATTAAAAACCTTCCCGTGAGGCAGGAGTCTTGCATTTTATGGATTTTGCCATGTATCAGCAAACCTTCCTTGTTCAACTTGGAAAGAAGGGAAGCAGACCTGTCAGAGCTGACAAATTAGAAACTCAGTATCAATGAGATAATCCTACTATATGAGGTCCAAATAATAATAGCTCACTTTGAAACAGCACTTACCTTAGAACAGTCCTTCGAGCTAAGTAAGTGCAGAAAGCATTATCCTCACTTTACAGATGAGGAAACAGGTCCAAAGAGGGCAGTTGATTGGCCCAGGTCACACTGCAGTAAGCAGCAGAACCCCGGACCTCTAACTAGTGCTCTTTCCACCATACTACTTCTTCTCAAATCCATAATAACTATTAAGAGATGGCATTGCCAGGACATATAACTGTCATGTAAATAGGGCATTAAGGCTTGCTTTGCAAGCCTCTAAGGATGTTACTGCATCTAAGCCTCCTAACAGGCCTGTGAGAAAGGAATTAGAAGTACCTTCTTTCTCTAAGTTCATTATTTATTATTCCACTATACCAGAAATCAAATCTCAAATCAACTGAAGCAAAAGGAAAAGAGGATGCCCTTCTACAGCTCTCCTTTCTCATAATATCTTAAGCGGTCCCCATTCCCTTATAAGATGCAAGGACTTAACCAGGATAAGAAAATTTGGGTTTTTGTCTGCTGGGACCATTATGGAGAGAATTCATGCACTGGGTAGAGAGTTGGGCCCCTTCCAAAACAGAAAACCTATGTCAACTTCTATACCTTTCCCCACTTTTAAAGAATTAAATAATAAAGTCACTCTCTTCCATCTCCTCGTATGGCAAAATACTACCTTTTGGACTTCCCTCACAGTCCAATCTTTACCCTTCCCTTTCCCAGTGTTTCTCCACCCAAGCATTTGCTTTCTTAAATTTGAACCTAGTTAGCCTTTAACCCTCCCTCTACAAGATTAAAATCCAGAGCAGCATGGGAAATTCAGTGACTTCTTAAAGTCAAATCTACATTCCCTTCCCAGCTCTGGAATTTAGTAATGTGGAAAAATCTTGGCATTTTACAAGTCTTTGGGACAGGTTTCTGGCTCACACCTCTTCTCCACAAAGAAGCAAGAATTACTGTAACTCATTAGCACCAAAAGTAGGTGCCAGGCAAATGTGGAACAGAACAGAGACCTTACCATCACTGTCAGTTGGCCTAGGAAATGATCAGGAGACGGTGATGGTTTCTCTCTACTCAGTTTCAAAAGCAATTCCCTTAGAGCCTGGGAGGGGGAGTAGACTGGACTTGTATGGTAAGAGCAGGAGAGAGGGCTATCTGAATCCTGAAATGGTAGAGCAGGACAGGAACTTCAAGCCATCTAGTCTGACCTTCTCATTTGACAGATGAAGGAACGGAAGTTCCAAAAGGGGAAGTTACTGGCTCAAGATCACATTAGTTGCTGACTGAGACAGGACTAGAAACAGTTTCCTGGTTCAGCATTCTCTTCACCAAAGCACACTGGTTCTTTACAAATTTATTAATAACTCTTATTTCAGTAGCACTTTAAGGCTTTACAAAATGCAGTCAGTGCAACAGCTCAGTGAGTCAGGCTGGACCAGTATTATTATCCCTCTTTTACAAGTAAGGAAACTGAGGCTTACAAGAGGGGAAGAGAATGGCCATTGGTCACATTGCTAGTGAGTATCCAAACTGGGACTCATTCCAGTTCTCGGGCTTTTTCCACTCTACCATCCTGCTCTGTTAGTACAATGGAAAGGTTGCCCCTACAATCCAGGAAGGGAACCAAGAGGCCTGTGCCTTTGTGAGACACTTCGCAATAGCTTATCACAGGAACACAAAGTCGGCACAGGCAGAACTGGAAAATACTGTATTTATGTACAAAGGAAGTCAAGGAGCTGTCAGCCACTCCAACAGGAAATCCTTCCCCAAAGGAGCATCTCGACAGCGAAGCACTACCTCCTCCTCCTAGCCACATCATCCCCAACTGGAAAGAGAAAAACCCTGGATGGGAACACTGGGCTTGTCCCATTACTGAGTAACCTTGTATTCCCATTTGTACTATAGTTCCAAGGAAAGGAGGAAGCAACTGCCAGCCTATGCTCCCTAGGGTCCTAGGAGCTACCTCTCATAGGAACCTGGGGTAAGGGACAGGACAGACAAGGTGGAGCCAAAGGAAGGTCACTGGCAAGTATGTGTATTTAAGGGTAACAGGCTTCGGATTTCACTAGCATTCTGTGCCTCCATCAGCCTTGATGACCATACCATTTATGACCTCCCCATCCACAGAAACATGTATTACCCCAAACTGAACTTCTTTGGTCCAGCAAAATTGGAGAAGTTATATCTATCCCAAGTAGGCAGGGTGACTAGCCAGGCAAGTGATTTACTCCAATCAGAGTTTCTTGATTTTTTTTCTTTCAAAAAAAAAAAAAAAAAAAGGATGATGAGAAGAATAGTGGAGTGAGATATCTCCAACTTTTGCTTGTTCCTTTTACTCCGCCTTTGCCCATAGGAAAGGTTCTCTTCCTGATGCATTTCTTCCCTGCAGACACCATTGCCTCAGCTTATGCCCCCTGGCTGACTGGTGGAGCCTGCTCTCCCACACCAATTTCAACTTCACCAAGTCACTCTCAGTGCCAGTAAAAAGACCTGGAGGGTATGCACGGCCCCAGAAGTCAATCTCCTAGACATTGGATTTGGGAGTAGAGTTAAGAGGGATCTCCTTGAGCTCTGTCCTCATACAGAGGTACTCCCCAATCACAGCCATCAGGGCAATACAAACAGCATGTACCAGCCACCAGGTCAGTGATGAAGGGAAATGGGAACTGTAGATCCAACATCCCAGGAGGTGGAAGAAGTGGACTGTGACAGTGAAGTCCAAACACTGTTTCCCTCGACGGATGAAGTATAACAAACCAAGAGCACTGTCATGGGGGACAAAATGGGGAGAAGATCACTGGCTGGGTTGGCCTTCCTTTGAGAGAAGCAGTTTGAAGGGAACTCATCTGACAGGTCACTGATTAGACTGGATGAAACACAACAGTTGTAAGGATAGGAAATGGGCAAACAATATACACAAGTTAAAAGTTTTGTGACTGTAAAATCAAGGATGCCATCCAGAGAAAAAGATTAGGCCATATATTCATAGACAATTGAAGAAGCTGTGAGGTATCTCAAGACACAGAATATCAGTAGCCTAACTTCATCATTTTATTTATGAAGTCCCTGAGGACCAGAGAGAAGTGACTTGCCCAGGGTCATAAGAGGTGGTCATAACAGAGTGGAGACCCAGAATCTTTGTCTCTTGGGTCTCAGCTCAACGGTCTTATCTCAAGACCACATTGCATGTGGCAGAAACAGACATAAACCTGTCAGAATTACTTTTCTATGGAAACTAGAAATAGGGTAGATGCCTGAATAAGCCCACTTCCTTTCACTACTCCCTAAAAAGGGGTTGTAGTTGTTCGGTTATGTCCAACTCTTTGTGACCCCATTTGCGGTTGTCTTGGCAAAGATACTAGAGTGGTTTGCCATTTCCTTCTTCAGTTCACTTTACAGATGAGGAAATGGAGGCAAACAAGGTTAAGTGACTTGCCCACATTCACACAGCTAGTAGGTGTCTGAGGCCAGATTTGAACTCAGGTCTTCCTCACTCCAGGGCCAGCCCTCTATCCACTGAGCCACCTACTACCCCCGAAAATGGACACTCATATCAAGTCAGAATCTGAGAGGATAGCCCTAATACTTCGACAAAAGAAGCTTTGTCTTAAGAACTCCAGGTAGCCTTGTGAGGCTGGGAATACTCACCAGGTAAGAGCATTGAGAATGAAGGCCATCATGGAGAGACGGCCAGGGGGAGTAGAGAAGCCCAGGATCTGGGGAAGAACAGAGAAGGAAGAAATCACAAATGAATGGAGTGACACTGGATATGAAGATGATTTTTCAGCAAGGGCCTGGATCAAGAACCCCAGCAGAATAATGATAATGTAATCACATTCTAATAACAGCTCAGATTTACACAGTATTTTAAAATTATATATCTATATATCTATATCTATATATATACACCAAAAAAATTCTATTTGAGAATCAAATATACCCTTTTTTTTCAAGTGAAGAAACTGAGGCTCAAAGAGAATAAAGAAGAAAAAGATCAGAAACTATCACCAAATAAGGGCTAGGTAGATGTTGCTAGGATCCATGCATGTTTTTATTCAGATGTGGGTGAGAAATTAATCCTGAGGCTACTGAGGCCCAGTTGGGTACATGAGTCTATCACCAATAACCTAATGGTAGATCCTGGCCCAGGCTATGCCCTCAGGAAAAGTACCCTCTGGGTAGCTTTGACTATGTCCCTGGAGTCTCAGCAGGATCTAGAGGAGAGAGGTAGTAGGAGATTCTGACTATTCCTCCAGCTTCATCTCCCTATACTATCTCCTCAGGCACTCTGCTCTCCAGCCCAATGAACTGCTCACCATCTCCGCACACATTCTACATCTTCCTGTCTCTGACAATGTGCCTTTCAACTCTACCTGAATCTTTGCAAGCTCAGATCAAATGCCACCTTTCCTGATCTTTCCCTTCTTTGAACATGGCAGACTGTACTTTTCTTATGTGTTTATCACACTCTGCCCTTTGTATATATTGTACTTATCAGTGGGTCTTAGCTTATCCCAGCCCTAGACTCCTGATGGGAAGCTCTGTTAAGACAAAGAGACTGGGTCTCATTGATCTTTATTTACACCCAATCCACCTCCAACAGACAACCTAGAACTTTTTTGGTGAATGATAATCACAGTTCCTGGTTCTATAGTGACTAATAGTTTACAAAGTGCTTTCCATTGAGCATTCTCTCCAGTGAGCTAGATAATGTTAAGTACAATTGTCTCCCTTTTATAGATGAAGGAACCAAAGCTCTGAAAGGGGAAAAGTACTTTTTTTCAAAATTATACAATAAGTGGTAAAGAGAGCTAAGACTTCAACTTAGGTGTCCTGACTCTGAGTCCAGTACTGTTTCCATTACTACCACACTGTCTCTGACTGAGCCCTGAATTCCCGTCTCAATCTTTGCCACAATGCTTAGAATGGCTTTCCACCCTCTACTCCTCCCCTTCCCCCTATCCTACTCCACCTGTCAAATTTCTGCCCATCCTAAAGTCCAAGTCAAATACCATTTCCAGGATGTCTACCCTGTTCCCCTCATTAAGTAACACTCTTCCCCTTTAGACCTCAAATACTACTTTGTTTCACCCTCTTTATTTATCATGTAACATGTTACATAATGATTTGCATCTGTGTTTTAATTCAATCTACTATAATATAAATTTCGTGAGAACAGGGAACTTGTCTTATCTCAGCTATGCAGCTTTGTATAAGCACAAATCTCTGTGCACAGTAACTATGTAATGGTTAACAAATCAGTGGTGGCTGGGTGATGGAGCTGAACAGGGACCAAGTAACACACTGTGAGGAGTTGAGTGAATGACAGGATTGAATGAGGGACTGCCTGCCCACCAGGGTGACTGCGTGGGTGACTTGAGTGTGACTGGCTGGCTGACCAGGTAGCTAGTCTGACTGATGACTGGCTGGATGAGTGGGTGACTGAACAACTGGCTGAAAGTATGAGTCACTGAGTAGCTGAATGAATGAAAGTAATTGTTAGTGAAGGCATGACTGACTGAACGAGCATGTTCCAGAGGCGCTGAATGCAGACCTTCCACAACCTCTGGGCTGAACATCTGGTTCCCGAGGACCCTTACCTCCGGGCTGAACATCTGGTCCAGAGTGGGGCTGCTCTGCACCAGGCTGTCCACCAGCGCCAACCACAGACCCAGGGAGCCATAGTACACGTTCTGCATGAGGACGATCTGGGAGACGATCAGGATGGGGTCCCACACGTAGCTGCGGAACTGGCCGGCCATGGCCAGGGCTCCAGGGCTCCAGGGCTCCGGCCTCCAGTTTCAGCACCGCTGCTGCCTCCTTCGCCCAGTGGTCTCCACGTGTATCCAAGCCATGGGAAGGGGAAGTGTGGAGGTCGAGGGCGGAGCCTTTGGGGTCAGGGTCCAAGGTGTAGTCAGCTGGCAGGGAGAACTTCGATAACCATGACAACCCACATCCCCGAGCCATCCTCCTCCCTCCTCCTGACACCTGGCCAGCCCGGGGAGGGGGGGAACCCATTGCTAGGGGGAAAGAGCGCAGATAACTAAGGGGAGCTGAGGCGAATGAGGCCACAACAAGAAGTCTGCAGGGCCAGAGCACTCAGCAGTATCTACAGCAAGCCGCTCTCCCTCCCACCCCGCCATGTTCCACCTTCCAACAGCTTGAATACTGGGGAGAAGCTGAGGGTGAGCACCGGCCTCTTTCCATGGTAACCAGACCCTCCCTCCACGGGGGCGGGGGGCTGGAAAAGGAGCGGAACGGACGAGCCCATTCCTGACAGAGGGTGGGGGGAAGAGGACCCTGAGAGGTCAGACTGTCCCGTTCTGGAAGGTAAGGCAGGCTCTCGAACCTCCGCAATAGTCTGAGGTTCACTCACCCGGCTACGGACTGTGGGGCCAGTAGCTCGGCCCGGTCTCACCACGTAGCCTTTCGAGCAGCGCAGACAGCTGGAACCATGGTGGTGGTGGCGCCTACAGCGCCGCGACTCCTCCGTATCACAGCCCCAGTAGGGGAAGGGAGCTAACGTTTCCGGGGACACGGTAGGGGGCGAGGAGGAGGACTGGAGAGAAACCCGGCTTTGCACAGGCGCACTAGGAATGACCCGCGAAAGAAGGGGCGGGGCGGAGGAGGGGAGGGAGAGCTGCTCAGGAAGAAGAGGAGGCGCACATGCGCATTAAGGAAATCGAAGAGAAACGGAAGTGGGGCATTAGCTCAGTGGAAGGCGCGTGCCCTCTGGCGGGAGCCAGTAGTTGGATGTCTTGGGGACCGAAGAGATGCTGTTGGAAGGAAGGAGGGAGGAGTCCTGAGTAAATGCAGGAACCAAACTGGGAAATTCCCCAGCCAGAATGGCCTTGGCTTGGATCTGATGGGGTGATGAGACCTGGAATCTGCCTTTCTTTTCAGCCTGTCTGCGGTCACTGAGTTCACAACATTGCTTGTGTACCTAGTACAATTCGAATTTTAAAACTTTAAGCGCCTACTGTATACAAAGAGCCTGTAATGGTTTCTGTGTATCAGACAAAGATCAATAACACCCCCGACCAAGTCCTTAGGGAGTTCACAGTAGAGTGGTAATGATAACTTCCTTTTATTTGAGGCTTACAAAGGGCTTTCCTCAAGCTACAACACAATATTTTAAAAATACATTAAGCACCAACCTTGTAAAGAAAAAGCCAGTTGACTGTGGAGGATACCAACAGTGAACAAAGTAAGCTCCCAGACCCAGAAGCAAATAGATCTGCAACCATACAGCTAGTGCTTTCCCAAGCCTCAGCCCCTTTCAGGGACTATGTTTGCAAGGCACCTTGTCTCAGAAGTCTCTGCCAGAACCCTTTGCCTTACAAGAAGTTGTGACTACTCTGCCCTGGGCCATTAAACCATTTGACAAAGCTTCTAGGCTCATGCCATGGTTATTTAGATACCATGCCTTTCACTGCTAGGAAAACATCAAGGACTAGGGCCTCAAGCACAAGATCAAAAAGAGACCCTAGTACATATTCTATGTGTTATTTCTTATAGTTGTTCATTATCCCCTATTATCTTGAAATAAAGCAAAGAAACTGCCACTAAATGTGAGCTCAGTGTAGTCCCTAGGGACCAGAGAGATCTAATCCAGTCTCTCCGGCTTTACCTGGTGGTGTTTAGGGGGGAATCCAATTTATCACAATCTATCATAGGATACTGGAGCCATAGTCCAACAGGTAGTTCCCTTGTGCTATAGATAGAAGGAAAAAAATTTATTAGGTACCTACTATGTGACAGGCTCTTTACAAACTTTATCTCATTTGAGATTATGTATGTATGTATGTATGTATGTGTGTGTGTGTGTGCCCACGTATGTGCAGGCCCACTCTATATATATGTATATATGTATGTATGTATGTATATATATATATGAATGTATATGCAGAGAGAGAGAGAGAATTCTCACAATAACCCTGTGAGGTAGTTGCTATTATTATCCCATTTCACAGTTGAGGAAACTGAGGCACACAGAGGTTAAGTGACTTGCCAAGGGTGGCATAGCTAATAAGTATTAGAGACCAGATTTCAACTCAGGTGTTCCTAACTCGAGACCCAGCCACTTCAACACATAGCTTCAGATGGCTAATAAATTTCCACCTCTACCTCTATCATACCTTATCTCTGAGACTGAGTTGGTAAAAATTCCTTTCTCCCTGTTACCACTCCTCACCTCATCCTCATCCACCTAAATCCTACTCTTCCACAGTCTCTATCTTCCTTCAGACCTCCCCTTCCATTGTGCCTCCTGGAAACCACACCTCTTTCTTACAAGTTCCCTCTCATCCTAGACACTTTCATCTACTCAGATCTCACATCTCACATTCTATCTTCTTTCACTCAAAGAAATCTGGCTCAAGCTCCCTTTTGAGCACATTGCCACCCTCTCTAGTAACTGGTTGCTCATTCCCTCAAGCTCCCAACACAATAATCTGGGAGGAAAAATAGGCATTTCTTGTTTATCACTGCCACTTCTTCAGGTCCTTTCTTTGCCACCATCACTTAGCAACCTCTCCTTCTTTGAGGTTCACTCCATTGGTTTCTGTCACCCAATCCCAATCCTTATTGTTATTACTGACATCCAAATCATTCTTCCTATTTTTTTCAGATTGGCACAATGGATAGAGAATTACGCCTACAGTCAGGAAGAGGAATTTAAATCTGAACTCAAACACTAGTTGTGTGACTCTGGGCAAATCACTTAACATCTCCTAACCTCAGTTTCCTCATCTGTAAAATAAAGGTAATAAATGATACCTACCTCTCTAGGGATAAAATGAGATATTTATAATGCTATATGTAGTATATGTAACATACATACTATATGCATATACACTATTATTATTATCTATAATTCTTTCACAGTCTTCCTCTCAATCCCAACCCATGCCCTTATATTTAGGGATATCATCGATGTCCCCTCAAACACTCTAATCTCCTAGTTCACCACCCTCCTAAACTCCCATGACCTAAATCTTCATTCCATCTCAGCCACATACAGGAAAGATCATATCTTAGATCTCACCAACACCAATAACTGCTTTCTCAAAGATTATAATAATAATATCAAGGAATATGGACTAGCTTTGTGATCTCCTTGTTATAGGAAATTCCCTCTACCAATGTTAATCAGGAACTATTCTACACAGGGTCACACACCCAGTATGTGTCAGAGGTAAAAGACTTAAACCCAGGTTTTCCTGAATGACTCTGAGGCTAGGTCTCTATTCCTTATACCACACTGCCAATATAATGATAATAATAGCAGCTTGCAATTATATTATGATTTAATATTTACGAGGTGCTTTACATTATCTCATCTGATCCTGAATTGTGAAATTTCCAACTGATCTCGTCCTCCCATCCTTCCATTTCCCCCTTTGCTTCATACTTCCTAAGCCTATTCTTCTTGTAACATCTAGTATATCACTCCTACTCTGACCTTACTTCCTCCCATCATAATCTGGACCACATGGCTAACCAGTTCAACTAAAAACTATCCTCTTCTGTGGATTCTCTTGCTCCTTTGTCTTACTACCACTCACTTCTTGACAAACTCCAACCTCTACCCTTCTCACTCTCTGCTCGTACTCAGGTGCTACTGAATTTCATTGAAAAAGGTCACGAAACCATGCAAACTGGGTCTGTTACATATTTATGTTATCTAAACTCAAATAGGTCTGCACTACTGATTAAAAGCCCCTTTGAACACCCCTGTTGAGTCCTCGTTGCTACTCAAAAAATCCTTGTATTCTTCCCCAACTGACTGTGATACCACTTACAGTGAGAGTTTCAAACCTTTCCCCTCCTTTCTCAAATCATTTATGACAACCTTTGCCCCCTTTTTGGCAGAAGACCTTATCTTTTACTTTACTAAGGAAATCAGGACTATCTAGTCTAGCACGTATAAAATGGAACTCATCATCTTTCCCCCAAACCCTCTCCCCTTCCAAGCTTCCCTATTACTGTCTAGGACACCACCAAACTTTCAGTTCTTCAGGCTCTCAACTTAGGTATCATCATCTATGAACTCTCTCTCACCACCCCCACCCCCACCCCCTATATCCAATCTGTGGCCAAAGCTTTGTAGATCTCACCTTCTCTACTCCACACTTCTCTCTATTCCACACTTCAATACTCTTATTCTCTATACTTTCGTTCTAGTCTTTGAGAAAGAGGTAGGTGGTTTTTTTCCTTGCCAAGGTCATTCAGTTAGTCAATAAACATTTATTAATAGCCTACTATGTGCCAGGTTCTGTGCTAAGCACTGAGGATACAAAAAAGCAAAAGATGGTGCTTGCTCTCAAGGAGCTCACAGTCTAATGGGGAAAGACAACATGGAGTACAAACACAATATATACAGGGTAAATTGGAAATAATCCAAGGGAAGGTGCTAGAATTAAGAGGGATTGAGAAAGGCTTCCTCTAGGAGGTGGGATTTCAGTTGGGATTTGAAAGAAGTCAGGAATGTCAGGGGGCAGACATAAGGGAGAGCATTCCGTGCATAAGAGACAGCCAGAGAAAATGCTCAGAGCTGAAAGATGGGAGTATTTTCTTGGGGAAGAGCAAAGAGGCCAGTGTCACTGATCAAAGAGTACTTGGGTGGGGTAAGGGTGTATGGTGTAAGAAGACTGGGAAGGGGGAAGGGGGTTAGGTCACAAAGAGCTTTGGACTTGAAACAGAGGATTTTGTTTTTGATCCTGGAGGTAGTAGGGAGCCACTGGAGGAGAGAGAGAGAGAGAGAGAGAGAGAGAAAATGTGTGTGTGTGTGTGTGTGTGTGTGTGTGTGTGTGTGTGTGTAGGGTTTGACATGATTAGACCTGAGCATTAGGAAAATCACCCAGTAGCTGCATAGACGACCAATTGTAGTGGAGAGAAGTTTGTACCAGGCAGTATCAGCAAGCTACTACAGTAATTCAGGTGTAAGGTGATGAGTACCTGTACTATGGTGATGACAATATTAGAGAAGTTGTTGTTCAGTCATGTCCAACTCTCTGTGACCCCATTTGGGGTTTTTTTTTGGCAGAGATACTGGAGTGCTTTGCCATTTTTTTCTCCAATTCATATTACAGATGAGGAAACTGAGACAAACAGGGTTAAGTGACTTATCCAGTATCACACAGCTAGTAAGCGTCTGAGGTCAGATTTGAAGGTGGTAAGATGAGTCTTCATGACTCCAGGCCTGGCACTCTATCCACTTGTGCCACCTAGCTGCAAAGGAGAGAAAGGAGTATATTGGAGAGATGTTGCAAAGGTGAGATCTACAAAACTTCAGTAACAGATTGGATATTTGAGGTGGGGGTGGTTAGAGAGAGTTTGTAGATAATGATACCTAAGTTGAGAGCCTAAAGACCTGAAAGGATGGTGGTGTCCTAGACAGCAATAGGGCTGCTTGGAAGGGGAGAGGGTTTGGGGAAAAGATGATGAGTTCTGTTTTATACATACTGA